TTATTAGTCCTGTATACCTTATCTTAAAAAAATAAAAAAATAAATAAAAAAATAAAAAAAATCACGAATGTTTGACAATTGACAATTGGATTTGAGGTTTCATGTGGCTGTCAAAGTTTGACAAAAATAGAAATACTCGTACTAGATGCCAATTTAATTGGTTGATCATCAAAAGATTTTCAACTTATAATTTTAGGTCCAAATAATAAGGCCATAAAATCTTGGGTACGGTTATATACTAACATGTTGATGTCCCACTTTCATAAAATCAACATATATAACAAGACCTAAAAAGGCAACTAACGATTCCACCACTTGTGCCTTGTTGCACTTGTTCTTCAAAAAAAATCTTGAGACATAGATAGCATGATGGACATGCCTCGGGTTCGAAGCTCGTCATTTATAGTAAAGAAAGAGTTATGCGTACGATGACATTTAGCCTCGACTAAAAATTTATGAGAAAGTAGGTCCAAGCCGAATTTGTTGTACCTTGAAAAAAATTGGTGAAATACATTTTGAACCGATAACCATATAGTGTAATTTAAACAAATTATATTACTATTGAATCCGAATATTCGATTAGAGGGAGTGTAATGCATGGTGTGGTAGTTTTTGTTGTAAAAAGGAATTAAGGTTGAGAATAGGAGGTGAGATTTGATTATGAATTCTTCACATGCATTTCTGTAGGAGCAAATTAAATGAGAATGGCTTTGACCTTGAAAACTAACGTTATATAAACTTTTGAGAGCACCGGGTGTATAGAACAACATCAGGTTTTAGAGGAACTTATAATTAATTTTGGGTATAAACTGTTTCGAGAAAAAAATGTTATTCTGTAATTTGTGAAATATACCTATGTAGTACTTCCTCCGTATCTAACTGTTTGCTGACTTTGCTCCATGTCCATTTTCTACTTTATTACTGTATGTTTTAGTGGTGAAACCAAAAGTAATTCTTGTGAGAATATATATATGGAAATATCTTTAAAGGACACCCTTATATAAAAAATAAGGTAAACAAACAAAAACAAGAATATTAATTAACTAGTTTCCCTTGATTAAATTTACTCGTTTCTTTTGTAATGCTCCTAGTAGTTAACAGTTGCTAGTAGTATATGGTCCGATATAGAGTAACCAATTAATTGATGCAAAGTATATGCGTATAGCATTTCCTTGAAATTGGGACATAGTTCATAAATTGTGGTCCCTTACAATGAAGAGGAGCATGCATCTATATTGCAAAAATCGGTTGACTTCAAGTCCCCAATTAATTTGGATGAGACAAATCTATTAAGTTCGATTCCTACATGATAATCTTTTTATTGGTATAAATTAGTGTAAATAAATGGTTAATGTTTAGTCATATGATAAATGTGGTCATCATATTTGAAAGATTCAAAATAATTCAAAACCAAACTAGAAAATTCAAGAACAAATAAAAAATTTTACCCAAAAAAAAAGAAAAAAAAAAACCGTAAAAGAAAAAAGATTAGTAATTTTAGTTGAAGTGAACACATTCTAACTCCCTTCATACTTAAGTATAAGTTTCATTTTTTCTTTGCACACCTTTATAGAAAGGCGAATAAAAAAGATAGTGATGTTTGGATAATATAAGATAGAAATTTTTTTAGTGTTGGTTGATGAAAGATGAAAATAAGATACAGTAGTATAGTACAATATATTACTTACGTTTAGTCATATGATAAATTTGGTCGATTATATAAAAGAAAAGAGTTTTATTTAAACATTGATGATTTATTTTATACAAACATAATTAAGTTGCAACCCATTATATTTTAGCCCACCGTCTATGGGGATAGATGGTCCAATATTCACATGCAACCACGCACCATATGTGTGATATGGCATCAAGCATACACACGCAATGAAAAGGAAAGTCTACGAAAACTATCGTTTTGTATTGTTAAGCCTATAGCACAATTCCACAACTACAATTTGATTGCTCTTTGTCGTTCTCAAACTAATATTATCAGCGGACGATTTGGACATTGCTTCACTTTCATATTCAATTACATTGTTGGAGTAATTGAAAGCCTCATCTAGCTAATCCATATTACTATGGATTTTGACAAATGAAATCGACTTAACATGGTCAGATACAGATACATATATATTAATATGTTTTTACGTTTAACCAAACATACCACTTAGTTCTTCAGTCAAATTAACCTAGTGCATGTAATTCGACCATGTAAAAGTGAATATAAAAAGTTAAACAACTATGGAGAGTATAAGCAACTGCTTAACCTTTTATTCCTAGGTTAGAAAAATTGATTGCTTCTTGTATTAGAACTAAAAAAATCGATTGTTTCTTTATGTTAGAACTAACACTTACCAGAATTATAAAGGAATTTAACGAAAATTGTCATATGGACTCATATCGATCTAGTATTATTGTCTAATCAAAATACAAGAAATTAAAACAAACCAATAGACTGAGGGTGAAATAGTCACGACAAAACCATATCTCTAGTATCCTCATCTAGAAATCTACAATATTCTAATGGGACACCCTCTAATACAAAGTACGTAGTACTCCGTATATACTAGCTAGTATATTCTATTTTCTCAAGCAAGACCTTGATTAGTCATTGACAAACCAATCTGATACACAATTACCTTCTCTATCCACATACACCATATAGTCTATAAACATTAAATACACAATCCAAATCATTTTCCAAGTAGGACAAAAGAGGAACAATCAGCAAACGCGATGTTGCGGCCCAACGGTACAAGAAACGGGGTATAAAGAAACGGGATGGGAGGGTGTAAATGAAGATTGAAGAGCTGGTGAAAGTGATGTAACTAAGAGTAGTAGAGTGAGTGGATGCGAGGTTTTTGGTTTAAGTTCCATGTACAATAAATGGTACGTACTTGTCACCATCAAAATTTTACACACAGGACAAGGGAATTGGATCCCTACACAAGGCCACGGTTTATCTCTTGGCAGACTGATTCGTTACTTCCCCACCACCAAATTTAAGTACTAGTAATAGTAGTAGTAGTTCCAACCTGTATCCGTGTGGTCTTCCTGCCGACCATTGCTGACATGGTCCGCAGATGCCATCTAGGATGCAATTTTTGTAACCGTCAAATCCCGACAACTATTTACTCACTCCGTTCTTGAATACTTGTAGCAATTTAACTAGCCAATGCATAAAATTGACCATGATATACGCAATTTTGATATTGAAATTGTTACAAGTATTAAGCAGTAAATTTGCTTTTTAGTTTTTAGTAAAAAATTGAAGTCAAAGTCAATATTTGAATAATGTAAAAGTCAACTATTACAAATATAGATGAATTCTTACTTCCTCTTTTACGCTCTATTTTATACTTTCTTTGTTTAATTTTACTTGCAATAGTTTGACACTTGTCACTATACATATTTTCTAATCGATCATCTTTAATTGTAATTGATACTTCGTATGTAAGATAAAAAATAGTCAAGTGAAATCTTATTATATTCGCCTTAATGTATATTTTCATATTATCAACTTTTCATAATATTAAACATCATCAAATATATTAATGGTTAAATATATGGGTAAATACAACTTTATCTCTATGATAAATTTGTGGGTATTATAGTCATTTCCCAGTTAAAAAGAGAGGTATTTTTTGTCATTTTAAAGAAGAGATCATTCAAGCAGCTTTAATGGAAAATGGAAATCTATTGGAAATGAAGAAGCTCACAAGTTCCATCAATGGTGAATACCAATAGAAGGGGGTAAATCAAACAAGCAAACAAAAATACCTTCCCTTTAGGGCTAACCATTCCCTTAATTTCTATATTTTCACTTAGGATTTTCGTTGGATTTGGCGACGAAGCCGCCGAAAATGGTGGTGTTGAGGTTTGGTGTTCGCCATTGATGGAGCTTGAAGAAGAAGATGAAGGTGTGTGGGACCAGAGAAGGAAGAAGAAGATAAGGTGTTAGTTGGGTGGGGAATGAAGGAACGAGGAAGGGAAATCATGGAAATGGGTCACGAATTGTGGAATGACGAAGAAGATGATGTTGATTTTTATTATTATTATTATTTTCCCAAAATGTAAAATTATTTACAATTTTGCTACCGAGATAAACGTTTTCATTTATCATGGAGATCAACCTGGGCTCCCTCTAAATATATAGATTGACAAATGTAATAGTCAAAATGTAAGTAAAATGAAATGGATGAAATATTCTGTAATATGAGTATTTGTTTATAGATGGTTAAGGTTTGAGATACGTTATTCAAGAGTTGAAATCTAATCTAATTTACTACATTTGCAAAAGAAAAAATCTTTACAATTTATAGTGAAAATTTAGGGAAACAAAGGATTTAAAAATTTGCCGGCCGGATCAAGACACCTCATTATTATTTTGGTAAGTAGGCCTTTCCTTTGATGGTCCAACCTCGAGTCTTGTTTCCAAGCTCACAAAAAAAAAAACCATATTGTGACAAGAACGAAAACAACACTTATTTACAATCTTGTAACCACATCCTTACGTGTATGGTGCATCTAAGCTCAAAACACCATCATATGACAAGAACTAAAACAACACTAACCTCTTGTTATGTATAATTAAATGGCCGACCAATCGGCCAATCATGTCACAATATATACAAACCAATCTCAATAATTTTGGATTGACAAATTTTATGTTTTATTTAACTATGCACCTTGCTTTTTTCATTGTGAAGTTCATCAAAGGGTTAATAAGTTTAAGTGAAAAGAACGAAGCTAAAGTCGCATGTATTCTTTTCCACACTATATCCACTGGTGCAATAGCTGGAGTCGAATTATATGGCGTATATCAATAATTTCTTGCACAATCTATGCTTAAAATCCAAAACATACCTCTTAAATTGTCATGAATAAATGTCATCCACATTGGAATGCAAACATATAGCTTTTAGCATGAATAGGATAAGAAACGAGCCAATGATTTCTAGCTCAATGCTGGCTGATCATGGCTCACTGATGCAAGTTGATTTATAACTCTTCTCTTCAATTTTCTAATGATGTTTACATGTTTCAGAATACTTGCATTAAGTTCAGTATGTAAATGCTAGGATCTAAGCCTAAATATCACAATTTACCGTTCATTAATACTCCTAGCGTTTTGGAATTCTTTTTGATAATAATCATCATTCATTTCTTACATTTTTTTTTCTTCATATTCATGGATCAGTCATGCGCTACAGCCTATGTAAAGCATCAATTAGGAGGGATTTGCAAGTTAGTGATAGATACTGCGATATTAGTGAAAGCACCAGCTTGAAAACTGGTTAGCCACACATCCTACCTCTTAGCATGGCTTCTGCCTTCCTCACTTGTCTCGTAGGTCCTATGATGAAGACCTGCATAAATATATTTGAGATCAGATTAATACCAAAACAATTAGTAATATCATGTTTTCGTACAGCATTGACTCCCAAAGGCCACAACGTTTCACAACAATTATATTTAGCTCAAGTATCCACTCTAAAAAGGCGTAATAATCAAATTTGGTTCATGTAGCCGACCCCACTAATGGGATTAAGGCTTTGACTGATTGATTGATTGATCCACTCCAAGAAGGCGTATGGACACATGAACTCTTACAATCTGGCCAAAAAGTGCAAGGAATACACAGAAGCGAACTATGCTATCAACTTGAGATGACAGATATGAGCCAAATAACAACGAACAGAATGCTTCTCTACATGTCCTCACATGTAAATATGTAATCCGTATGAGGAGAGTAACCTAGGATACATATTATGAGAATCAATCACAAGTTTGTGCACCTTCAAATATGAATTTTCTATGTCAGACTCTTGGACACATACCCGAGTCCGGCATTTGTATTCGAGTTGGAGAATCATCACAAAGGACAAAAATGATTACAATGAGGGTTGGAAAGTTAGTGGAACGATAACTCTACAAGTTATATGACTTATTTTTCAGAATACAGAGATCTTGAAGTTTTCACCTATAAGTTAACAAGAAGTGTCCAGCACTAGGAAAATATGGGAGGAGATATGCATATAATGAGCAGCTACATTCCCAATTGAATAGTTAAAGCTATGGTGTTAAGATGGGTCTTACATCACTTATAGTCCATTCCTATCGACTCCTATTGGGCCATATATGTTAGGCGGTTATTGATGTGCCATGACCTGCACTATGTTGATACTTTTAGCTCAGAATACACCTTAGCCAACTTATAGACCAACTATGATCAGGCTATTCTGGTATAAACCATCAGTTCCTTCAGGCAGCATTCTAGAGTTAAATTGTTTCTACTTTTGGTATACTATATTTCATTTAAACTTCAGAATAATTTTATACAGAGATACAAGGGATGAAAAACCAACTTGATATCATACAAACAACAAAAACTCTAGCACAAAGGTCATGGTGAGGGAAGAGGGGGTATAGTAGTTGACAGAGCCTCATCGGCAACAGGTATCCCCAACATTGTCATCCTTACAAGTGAGACCCCAACATTGTCATCCTTACAAGTGAAACCATAAGTTGCTCATACATTTAATTATGAGTTAGGCTAGATCTTCACATTATTGTGATACAGATGCCAGTACATTTTTACTCAACTAGATTTAACTGGCCAAATTAAGTCTAGTCCCAACTATAGTACAAATCGACAGCATCAATATACAGTTATTCAAGAGGTATGCAGACCAATCTTCAAATATACAACGAGATGTACATCATATTCTAGGAGCCCGGAACCCTAAAGCTTGCATTGCTGACAGTATACACTTTTTGGAACTCACTATCCATTTACCCTGCTGAGGTGAATGTTTGGTGCAACCTTTTCTCTTAGAGGGCATTTTTTTTTTTGAAAACACTCTTAGAGAGCATTTGGGGTAGGAGTAAAACATTTTCCAGGAATATTAATGTTCTGATATCCTAGGTTGTAAGATATACGTAGTATAAAGGATGGGAAATAATTTTCCCAAGGGTGGAGAATAGTTTTCCTTAGGACTTTGAAAATTATTATTACTTTTTAAATTAAGAAATGCCACATTTCCCTAATTCCTCACCCTCCTCTTCCTCTTCTCTCATCCATTATTCTCTTCCTTCCAGTTCCAAACTTTCTTTTATCTTTAACTTTCTTACAAGAAAATAAAGGAAAAACTAATCAGAAATTGTGTTCTTCCCTGAAAAGGGTTCATCCAACCACACAGCTTTTGTAGAAAATGGCATTAGCGCAAGAAAAGTAACTAAAATAGGGGGGTAGGGGTTGGGGGGAGGGGGCACTAAAGAGGGACACTTTCGAGAGTATTCAATCAAGTTAAGAGCTTGATAAAAGTTCTTAGATGGTTAGACCATATAACGTTACCATGAGAATTCCACCTGGCTTCTCATTACTACGGAGTAGAACTGTTACATTTAAAAAAATATACTCCCTTCGTCCCTAAAAGAACGACCCATTTGGCCAAATTTTAGTCCCCAAATGTTCATCCCATTTGTATTAAAATACCCTCCAATTTGCAATAATATTTGTGCAAAATTAGCTTCCCCGTGTAAATTTTGCTTTTTCCATGTACTTTTATTACTCTCTCTACTTTTTTGCAAATCTCATGTAAATTTATCTTTTCAATGTACTTTTATTAGCTTCCCCATACACTTGTACTTCCCATTTAAGTTTTTTAATACTCGTGAAAAATGCTCAAATGGGTCGTTCTTTTAGGGACGGAGGGAGTATAAAGAATGGAACATGCTAAAAGCATGAAGATGTATATGTTGTGACAACCATAATTGCCTTGGATCAGATATGGCATTTCAACATTACAAGCTGACCATAACAATAACAAGGATTCACAGACAAATCTGGGTTGTTAGTACAAATGTAGAAGAAACTCCTCCTATGAAGACAAAGATGAAACCTAACAGAGATGAATTAACTCCCTCATTCCAGAACTATATGTAAGCAATATTATCTTTCATATCCCGGGACGTCGTTGCATCAGAAGAACATCAGATATATGTGAGCCTTGACATTAACAGCTATCCCAACTCATGATATGCAGAGACATGGTATCCAAATGATCAGGTTTTAAACATCAACCTATCAGACCCTAATAAACCAAAGCTTCATGCACCCAATATAGCAAGTTTCATGTGGCAATTTGCTATCTATAGTCTATAGAGCATGTCGATTTCCACTACAACTGTAAAACGTGATCCCTACTGTTGTCTTATGATGCTCCAAAATAGATACAACTAAGGCCCTGTTTGGTTCACCTTATTTATGATGATCTGATCTGATCTTATTTTTTCTGATCTGATCTGAACTGAACTTATTTTTTCTGATCTGATCTGATTGTCTGATTTGACCAAACTGACCTTAAGTGTACGATAATCTATAAGGAAAAAATATATCAAGTGGGATCTTGTTAGATTCGTAATAATGTGTAGTTTATTAATATGTAATTTTCACAATTTTTTTCATTACGAAATTAAGAATATTTAGCGATAAAAAACCGCACATAAAACGATGTTCTGATCTGAACTTATTTTTTCTGATCTGATCTGAACTTATTTTTTCTGATCTGATCTGAACTTATTTTTTCTGAAATAAGTAAAAATAAGGTGAACTAAACAAGGCCTAAGTATATGGAAACCGCTATCACTATTTCACCAAAAGAAAGAAAAGATTAAACAGGCATAGATATCATGATATAGCAATACTTTCCCTCACCAGTGTCTTTTTTAAAAAAAAGATGCTTTCTCCACAATTGCGATGGGATCCATTGAATGACTATCAGTGAAGTCATTATTCTAGAACTCCCTATCCTGTACTTATGTTAGACCATGATATTAAATGAAGGCTGTAATGTTATGCTGTTTTGTGAAAACCTGTCTGTGATAAATGGCTTACAGTCATACAGTAACAACTATTATTGACAGTTTGCTACCACTAAGACAAAATCACTACTATCTGATATGCAATATGCTTTGGGAACACATGGTTACCTAGGTTGTTTAACAAGTGCAAAAGTACAATGTACCAATATGCAATTTATCATGCATATGCATCGTAGTTTAGAGGGTGGTGGGGTGGGGGGAGGGGTGTTCAACGAAGTAGGTAGCACTAACCACTATAATCATCTGTAATTCAAACTCTATTACATTGCAAAATAATTACGTATGGCTCAAAAAGGTATTTTAACTTTAAGTAAAGCAACAAAGCGGAAATTTTGTAGTATTTCAACTTTAAGTAAAGCAACAAAGTGGAAATTTTGTAATTTGCCAATCCACGATAGTTGTTGTATAAGTCTTAGACTAGCAGTTTGTTGTGAGCAGACAAAAAAAATTTCGCATATACTTGCAGACAAAATTAAAAATGTAGAACATGAGAGAAGATTAATTCTGAAGCTTACTTTGTCAGAAGGACCTCTGTCACCTCCAATGAAAATTTCAGCACTGCAAGCAATACATGAAGGTGCGTTTAGAAAGAGAAAATAAAGAGAAAAAAAGAAAAGAAAAAGAAAGATGTCAGTGAAAGCATGGTATTCATAAAAGAGAAGGATTATACTTGCACGATTCTTTTATGAACTGGATTGTAGCTCCCTTTTTTCCAATAATGCATCCCATTTTCCCGGATGGAACATCAATCACAGATAGTATCTCCTGCTCAGGAACTTTTCCACTTGGAAAAAAGTCACCTGACAAGAAATGGAACCAAAGTGAGACTGGATTTGTCATATTAGATTTTTTAGAATTTGAACCTCATAAAAATTTTACCAAGGGGGAAAACAACTAGTGAATCAAGCAAAGTCAGTTTCTCTCCTACCAAAGTACCAATACACATTTCTTTTCGATGAAAGAAGTCACATCAAAGAAGAAAGTGACATTTCACAAGGACCTGGACTACACCCAGGAGTCATCCAACTAAAAAGAAAAAAGACCACAATATACTCGTATAAATGCAAGAACCCCCAGATATATCAGTCTGAAGAGGCCAAGGAATAGCTACATCTCATCATAAGTAGCTCATTCCGGTTGCTATTCAAAAAATGAAAAATAGATGCCTCTCTCCCCTTAGTCCCCCCCCCCTTCCCCCTCTCCAAAGCCTTCAATACAAACTGTCAAGGAGGCAGCACAATCTAAAATGTAAATATAGGCGACTTCTAGTCTCACTATCCAGCGAAAGCTATTGTAGCTGTTCTTAGTCCTGCTAAACCAGAATCTGCAGATTGATCTGAGAACACGTATAAGTACAGCAAAAGTAAGGGTACAGTTGGATAATGATTCTACAATAAATCATCTGTATTGAGTTAATCAACAGAACTAAGACCTAATTCTATGGGACCACAGGCTCTAATAATATTAAAAAGAAAAGAAAATGGGACAGAGAAATTTCCTAGCCCAATTATCACTCAGTAGCAGGTAGAGATGCTACACAGATCTGCAGTTGTGAATTAGGCCTTGAGAGTAGCCCCATACAACCATAATTAAGCAATGACTCAAGGTCCCATTTGACATCCAACTCATTTCCTAAGACTTCGCTTCTTTATTCTTAGGAAGCTTAAGAAGTCCAGCTTTCCCAAATAGCTTCAGTTAAGCCTCAAGTAGGTTGTGGGTTAACTAATGTCTCAGCTGCTGCATGTACTTTAAGACAATTATAGTTGCCATCCTATTTTCATGTTTTGACTATGGTGGTCCAGGCTTAAGGGGCTTGTTATGTGATGGAATTGACTGGTGATTGAAGATGAGACATTGGATGGAGTGTAGTCAAGAGACATTCAATAGAAAACACTGACAACATAGAGGAGAATAATGATTATAGTCATGCCTCATTAAGTTTATGTAATAAATAGATTACAGTAATTGAGTTATTAGACAACAGACACTAGTATTAACAAATGTACATTATTACATGTAAATTACATACAGATGACCCAAACATAATATTGCATTCAAGGCTCAGCTAGTCTGCTGGACAAATGAACTTCAAAATCATGTTTCGGCCATTCATTTACTACATGAATGACATTTGACTGAGCTTATATTATGAGTTGTTCACAAGTGTATTGATCCAGACTTCAGTTTGAAGCCATAATTGTGGTGTACAGGTGTACTAGTAGCATATATCTTGATGTCCAAAAATCATGGATGGATACTCAAATCAAGTTTTTAAAAATATTGTCCAAATTGATGATTTGACATTCATATAGTTTATAGATCACTAAGTATGTCAATAATATGAGTCAAGAGAAAACCTGAAACAGAAGGGATAGATGGCCAATCTGCATATCTATTGTTGACAATGCAGAAACAGCGACAGTGTAATGCACCACGAACTGCAAGTTTCCACAGCGATTGTTCATTCAGTTGCTCCATTATCATATGATAAACATAGAGAAGGAAGCGAACATCATCTACAGCAGAATTAATCATCTGTTCTGTAAAGGGCCTGTAAGTCCAGTACATGGGATCCTGAACAAGCCAGTCCAGAACATCTCAGTTTTCTACAAAGCTCATTCACATAAACAGCTATGATATAAAACAAGGTGATTCACGAGAATTAGAACTAAGTAGCTGGCATGCTAAAACGTACAAAATATGAGCTTCATAGCTGCTATAGTTTCCAATACATCACAAGAACTTCACAACGGACAATGACAGGCATTTAGTTTGGATAGGATGATATGAGCTCGTGACATCTAAAAACATTAACACCGTGTTTGGATAGGATGATATCAGGGAAAGGGAAGGAGGAAAAAGTGAGGGATACATTTTACCTTATTTTAAGGAAGGGGAGGGGAGGGAAGGGAAGGGAAATGGAGGGATCAATATTTTTTCCCCTTTTAATAAATTAAATCCCTCCATTGTTGGAGAGGTTTGGAAGGAAAGTGGAAGGTCACTCTATCCCTTCCCTCACCTCCCTTTCTCTTATCTCTTAAGTCTTTTTTCTTCACCTTCTTTTCCCTAACTAATATTATCAAAACATGGAGTAAGTAATGATATCCCTTCCACACAAACAACAGCAGTATAAAACTAACTCCTACCTAATACTGACCTGTATAAGAAGGGTGCGTATATCTTTCTTTTCCAGATAAGATATCCCTGCGATTGAGTACAAAGATCAAGCACAAATAAACAAAACTGACACATTATGAGATCAACCTTTCATAATATGGTCTTGCCAAGCACAAAAGAAACGGTAAAGGGAACATGTTCAGCATTATATTCTGCAGAGATAAAATATTGACTTACCGGAACAAGTTAAAATAAAAAGGAACAAAAATGACTGAATCCAGAAGTGAAGCAACTAGTGTGACTAAATGTTTACTTGTGCTATATTGGATGTCGAATCTCGAAATGGTATGCTTTTGAGCTTTTCTACTTAGGTCTGCCAAATAAACTGAATTGAAGTTGAAAAACTTTGACTGCATTAGATAGCAATTTAATCCAAACACCTCACGATACTACACAAAATTCTATATTTTTTATTCAAGTAGCAGAAATTCCTGTTCTGTTTGAAGTAATAAGTATAGAAATTAGATAGCTTAATACCTTCATTGCAAGGTGCCTTCACTAATTTTTTTTAATAAGATGTCATTCCTGTTCTGAATAAGGATGGATCCTTATGAGTTATGACAATTCATGTTAGCCGACCCCAAATCATTTTGGTGGTGGTTGTTACTTTTAAATCCCTTTGGCATGCTTTATTTCTAGGCTTTGAGTATTATTCAGGCTTATAAATTTCTAATTGCATTAATTCCAAATGCCAAACAGCATATATGCAACCTCATCACTTTTAAATCGCTTTGGTTTGTTTTATTTCGAGGCTTTGAGTATTATTCAGGCTTATAGATATCTAATTGCATTAATTCCAAATGCCAAGCAGCATATATGCAACCTTAACTACATCTTAAACTTGGGAGTCAGTCCAACACAGGTCAAATAATTACATAGGTTCCTTAGGTGGTCCTTAGAATATATTCCTAATTACTCTCATTGTTACTCCTAAAAGTTCTCTTTTTTCATGTAAATTAAACAGGAAAGATCAGAGAATAGTCCCACTCTAATTGGTGATGTCAGAACCCCTCAATCAATAATTTACAGAAACAGAGAATTACAGAATATCCAAAAGCAATAGTATGCTATCCCAATATGGAATCATATTACTGTAAATTTGTCATTTACTATAACACACTTTTCTTTTAAACATGTACCATGTGCAAGTGCAATTGAGACAATAAATTTGGATGAATGCGTAAGACCTTGGACAGGCAGCAAATATAACATGAGATGAACAGCAATACAGCATCATAGAAGTCATGCAATATGTCACAGAGCCTATGATAATCATGACTGTCTGGCACTCTGTTTCAATCTTTGTTTGACTTGTATTTCATCTCTTTATCTTCCATTATGAGAGAAGGTCCTTTGCAATAACTGATTGAAATTGTCAAATTTCCAGGTTAATTGCTAATATTAAATATCTCACCTCCATCATTTTACAACAGAATATCGACTTAAGTCCTATTCTTTTGGAGTGAATGGAGCTGAACTGAACTAGACTAAACTTAATGGAGTTGAACTGAAATGAAAATATTTATAATGATGAACTAAATGGAGTTGAGCTGAGCTAAACTAAAATGAACTAACTTAATAGAGATGAACTAAACTGGACTTTTTTTTTTGGAGCTAAACTGGACATAAAACACCAGAATAGAGCTAAAAGTTTGAAAAATAAGTCCAAAAGAACAGGGCCTTAATATTAAAGAAGAAAGTGGCATTTGAAATAATCTAAAGCAAGAATCAAGTTTTACATTTCTTAGCCTTACCACAAAAGCGATGATCAGCAAGCAGGCCAATGAAGGAAACACATTCATCTGCTGGTTGAGCCAAACCTTCTTGTTCTTGAACAAGGGAATATGCAATCTGTGCAGAGTAGAATCAAATGTACCAAAGAACGATAGTCTACTAATCAAAACACCATAAACAGCTCAGATTACAAGTTGATCAGCTCAAAACAACAAGATCTTCATTGACGATAGAATCCAACATGCATTGTTTAACTGAAAGCCAAATTTGAGTATGCTAATGTAGGTAGATAGACAGATGATAAACACAAAGAAACAAAAAACAAGAAGACAGTTGACACTCCAACCCTCTACTCTTCTAAATCCTTTTACTTTAGAAATCAAAGAGACAAAGAGAGGCATTTAATATTCAGTTGTGTGCTATGAAACAAGATTTTTTTTTTTTTCATTCCCTTTAAATGTTGAACAACAAGGTACCTAAACTTGGATCTGAACGAGCTATATCAAAGATCTTAAATTAAAACTAACAACGATAATTATAACCATGCATGAAGTGTAAGGCTGTGGATTAACCAACTATAGACTTAGATATTCAAGGAACTTATTTCCATAATTAAGAAAAGAGAAGGCCTCAAAAGGGTTAGTGAGAAGTATAATAACCTTAGACAGATCAGTCAATAATAGATTACGGTGAATATAGAATTAACTTGACACTGACCTGTGTATCCACTACATTGTATAGCTTGATGCCAAACTGATGATATAATGCCTGCAAGGCAAGTATAAAAGTTAGTAAGCTGAGAGACATATTGACTTGCAGTAACGAGACATATAATCTGTAAATCAAGTTTTGGGACCTCACTGTCTCGTTTGCAATCATGAATAACTTTGGTGACATAGGCAGACTCAATAGCTGGTTTACAAGCATTTATTAGTTCCTTGCCTCCAACGGTAACATCCACAATATATATGGCGTTTGATGTGGCAATCTGGAAGGTAACAATTGATAGTATTTAATTAATTTTTCCAGGACATCAGCTGGTACAGCAAGCTAAATACCATGGAAGCAATAGTTTTGTAATCATATTTACTAAATAAAGCTATACAATCACTGTAAAAGCCAAAAAAAAAAAAAAAAAAAAAAAAAAAAAAAAAAAAACTCCTGTTTGGTTTAAACATCTGAATCATGTTCTAGTTCATGATGTAGTGAAGTTATCATATGGCACATATACCCCAACCCCACCTTGATGCAGACAAATAAAATGGCAAGGATCATTAAAACAGCATGATTCAATTATTGTAAGATTTATCCAGCGAACACTCCCTTACTTAATAATATAATGTGATTAGCAAGAATGGCAACCCTAAATCGTGTTGGAAATTTGGAATAGAATATTTCGAGAATTTATGTACAGTCCTTATAGATTAGCACTGCATAAAACATATACCCACAAAAAAAGTTTTTCAGGGAACTTGATAAAGCATATGTAGCCTGCATTGCCATATACTTTGAAATTTGAAAAATGAATGACAAAGAGAACCTGTATAATGCAAAGAGCTCCATAACGTGAGAGATTTACACCTTCACAATCGAATCCAATAACCAACTGCTTATCAGGAGACGGATGCAAAAGTTCCTTGGGAAGTTGAGATGCATGGGTAACAATATAAATCGGAACTGGTAATGTGAAGGTGTCATGAACTTTACCATTTCCTACAAGTAGAAGAGAATAAGCTGGCAAGTATTAGCAAATATTATGCCATGCACATTGTTTAATCATATAGAATGGTTTATCAACAGAAAAAGAGACAAAATGAATAAGGTGGCAAAAAGTCCTTGGATAGGAGGGTGTTGACGACATGTTTGAGATTTTGGAATCAAAATCTTGTTGAACACACTCATGATTGCAATATATAATAATATTTTTTCCTATGTTACTTGGACTTTTCATATTACCTTAAGTACTTGACTCAAACATGAGTAGGACATTCCAACCCTTCATTTTGGGGCCAAAATCAAGAAAATTAATCACACAATAGTCGAGTCGGACACTTGGACACCTACCCATATCAAACATGAGAACACTAGTCAAAGCGAAATTTAGAAGGTTTGTAAAGTTCTTCAAAGGGTGACTTTCACCCAAGCAAGAAAGGGGAAATGAAAACTAGTACAAGAAAAGTTCAAGTCCCTAAAGCATAAAGTTTAAGGAACATAAAATATGGCCTCAGAGAAAATAGCATGGAAGAAACGGGGGCCAAATCTAAAGGCAAAGCACCAAATATGCATACATGATATGGTGGCTTCTTAAACATCATTAAATAGATCAAAGTCAAATAAATGGGAGGCATAGAAAGATGAAAATTGATGGTTCAAATTCCTATACTTAATTACATACTCCATTTTTTTTATAATTGCAACAGTTTGACTTTTACACTGTTCATGTATTCCACTTTGACTAGCTTTGATGATTTATAGCTATGCAAAAATATAGTCATGTGGGATCTTGTTAGATTCGTCTCGATATATACTATTTTAATATCAAATGTTTATAATTTTTACTTATTGGTAATTAAATATATCAACGATTGAAATCAAGTATCGGCAAGCGTGAAAAGAGAAGTGTTGCAACTATAAAGAAACAGAGGAAGTAGTAATTATTGAAAAAAAATACTAACGCTCCCAAAAGATACTCCTTAATAAATAGAAATAGATTACAGTATTTAATTGTCTTTTTTTGAACTTGGCAAAAATACTAACTCGTTGTTTGATAATTATAGAGGGTAAAGGAAGTAAGGGAAGAAGAAGGGGAAAGAAAGAAAGGTAGTGAAGAAGCAAGCTTGCATAAAAACTTTCCTACATTGGAAATATATACTATTTTATTAAGAGGGGTAAAGAAAAGGTATCCTTTCATTTTCCGTCCTTTCTCTTCCAAAACTTCATATTCAAACCAGAAAAAAAATATATATCCCACCTTCAACTACCTCCATCTACCTCCATTTCTCCCAATCCAAACACACTCTAAAATAAAATCCTTTGTTCTTTCTTAATTATCTCATTTATCACAATAAACCATCAATATTTGTAATTCTCAATAAGTAAAAATAATTTAAATAGATATTATGATAGTATTAATTGAGATGATTCTAACTGGAATACACAAGATTATGTTTTCCCTAACGCATTATTATTGCAGGAGAGTGCAAACTTGATAAATGAAAGATATTAAAGGTTGAATTACTAATGAAAGTAAATAACTCACCTTCAGTTCCCTCCATTTCCAATTGTTTATTAGAATTTTAGAGGATCCCATTTCAAAAAAGGAAAATAAATCGCGAATTCCTTCCAGAAAATTAGATACTACCATCCTAGAGTCCAGTAATCATTGAATATATAAACATCACTGGTGTAAAGCTTGCATACATCTAAACATCTTCTCATCAAGCCCCCAATCAATGATCATTGCTATGGTTTCTATAGCATCTAGTCTAGTTACATGATTAAATGATACGCCAACAATTAATAATCAAGTAGATCCAAGGGCATGCAAATGCAGAATTGCAGCAACTTTTACCAAGCTACTCATTCAAATATTCAATCATTCGGAATTCCGTTGTTCTTTACAGTTCATATCCTAAATTTTGGTGAGAAACTTCTAGATCAAAGCTTATAGTATCTCAAATTCCACAAAATCCCAATATAAACGGAAAATTACCCGAAAATCCTTGCTTAAGAACACAAAATAATGCAGATAATTGACAAACATAACATGATCAAAGCAGATAATTCCTCAATTCCCACAAAAAATGGAAAAACCCAGAAAAATTAACATATACAGAGGCAAAAAAAATCCAGAAATAATTCACAATCACAAATTAAGCTAAAAACAGAGAAATAGCAAAATTCAGAAAATCAATAAAAATAAAGGAAAGAAATAAAAAAATAAAAAAAAATGGTTGAAATTACCTGAATATGCTGGTAGAGGAAGGCATGCAGTGTGTGAGGGGGGAAGAGGCGCCATTAAAGAGTAAATTAGCGACACTGAAGCATAGCAAGCTTCCAGTGCTACTGTGCTAGTGGTATTGAGTAGTGACAGTGCCCAACTATTGGCCAGCATGAAATACTTGTGCCCTTCGGTCTCACCTATTGTTTTTTTTGGGTAACATAACTGAACAGCTTATAATCATTATTACTACCTTGGTTAATTAAGAAAAATACAACCTATGTTTTTATTGACACGTGAAATCTTGTTACATTCGTCACGATATATATTTTCAAAATATCAACTTTTCATAATTTTTTGCTTATTGGTAATTAAAAATATTAATGGTTGAATTTATGCATCGGTAAACGTGACTAAAGAAACGATGAATTTGTATGTCTTTTTTCCCCCAAAGTCTATAATACTACCTTGACGTGAAAGGTTGATAGTTTTGAGGGTTGGTCCCAAATATATATTTCAATTCTTATTTGATTTATTTGGTTAATTTGATTTAATCTTTCTTGAAGTTATTAACGTGTGTATTGTTTTGATAAAAAGACGTACGGGGCATCAAAGTAAGTAATTCAATTACTTAGTTATTCTTTTGATTCCTAGTATCTAGGGGTGAGCAAAGATCCAGGGCACCCGGTACCGAACCTGGAACCGGTTAGGACCCGTCGGGTCCGGACCCAAAATTGGTCTCACCGGTTCCGGGACCGGGTCCAAAATTTCGGACCCGGTTGTAACCAGTTCCGATTCCAAATCCTAAAATTTTGGACCCGGTGCCCACTGGGTACTCGGTTGTATATGATATAGTATGTGGATTGTTTGTGTTTTTAAGAAATTAAAGAGTTATGTACATCCCGTTTTAATTTCTAAGTCCAATTGCTTATAAAACTCTCAACCCACTATCAAACAAAACCCTAAAACTTCTAGATTTTTCTCTTCTCTCTACTATACCGGTTACCCAACATATATTGTACAAAATATATTTAAAAAAACAAAAATATATTGAACGTAACTAATTAGTAAAATAAAAAAAAATATTAATATTTAATATAATTAAAATAGCTTAATGTATATAAAAATATAAGTATTAAAAGCTAAAAGTAAAAATACACCAAAAAAAATATTATGATTTGTATTATATTTCAACACTTATATATATAAGTGGGTACCCGGAATCGGAACCGGTACCCGGTGGAACCAATTCCAATTCCTAAATTTTAGGACCCGGTTGTACCGATTCTAATTCCGGTTCCAAATTTTAGGACCCGGTTCCAACCAATTCCGGGTCCGGATCCTAAAATTTTGACCGGGTACCCGGTTTGCTCACCCCTACTAGTATCATGTTAGGATGTTGATTTTGATTCCTAGTATCATGTTAGGATGTTAATTTTAATTCCTAGTATCATGTATAGGGTGTTAATTAATATTTCTAATATCATGTTGGTTTCTAGTATCGTGTTTAGGTTAATGCTTTGATTATGATTTTTATTAGTGACATGTTAGGGTTTGTTATTAATCCATTTAGTATCATGCCAAGGATCTTGCTATTAATTATGATGATGATTTGTCGTGTCAATAATTATATGTTGCTTGATTATTGTTATTGCTTGATCACACCCTTTCTGCAGGTTTAAAAAGAATTTGTACTTGAAATCACGCCTAATAAGATAATTAATAATTTGATTTAGGCTAAACATGATTTTAATTCAAGTGATCACCAATAATACATTTATTTGTGCATTAATAATCAACCAACGTAGATTAAACAGGTCTAGGATTAATTTATTGTGTGCATGTTGATTGAAAAGCGCACATGAATATCATAAGACTTAAGTAGAGGCTGATTTAGAGCGGGTTCAATCTCTTTTAGGTTGAATTCGTACCATCATCCCCGAATATCCAGTCATGGTTCCGGACCACTATGGAGTTAGTGATCTCCGTGATCGTGAATGGAGTGTAACCTTCACACCCGTGAACGGTTTACAAGTTCCTAAAACTTGTTGGCGACTCTTTCATCTCTAGCTTCCTTCCCTTTGGACGCCACCATGCCTAAAAGCATGATCACAGTGGGGCTCAAGGTTGGGTTTGAACCTACAGTTTTTTGGCGACTCTATTGGGGAGGATTTCTAATTTTGATTTTTAAAATTTATTTTGGCAATCGATTTAGAATGAGTGGATGAGACTTGAAAGATTCTAGTATTCATGTGCGTAATTTTGATTACCATTGTGGCATAAGCATAAAAAGGTTCGCATTGGAAAGACCATCCGTAATGCGTAAAAAACATAGGATTTTTACATGTAGGAAGAACTGTAAATATTTTTCACAACTAGAATCGAAAAGATACTACGAAAATCGGAAAAAACGTAGAACATAGAAAACTGTCGCGACGCGTTGGAACTGTCGCGAGAATGCAGAGGTTGTCGCCAAACGATAACTTTATCGCGGCGTGATAGAGTTGTCGCTGCGCGAAAACCTCTGCGAAAACCTCTGTTTTCTTGCGCCAAGTTCTCGCGACATTGCGCCAGGAGTCTGTCTTCTTGTTTTGACCAATTCTAGTGTTGTCTCGACGATTCTACTTCCTAATTGAGTTTTTTTTTTTACTTTTCTGAACCCATATGTGTTCTGCATATGATCTTAGCCCCTGGAAATTCACGCTCCATCCACCGTAATGAACGCTCTGTGCAACAATGGGTGCATCCGAGTTTGTGAATTTCAATAAACCATGGAAGCAAGTCTAACTTGCGGGGTCCCATCCATCGTGCCAACCCTTCCAAAGGTAAGGCTTCCGCACGATGCATCCGGACTCATAACCGTGGACCCTCTTTGGACACCATAATCCTTGACCTTTAGAGAAATAGAGCCATGGTTAGGTTGCAAACTCAGTGCATCATATTGTGACTATTTGATTACTTGTGCATTCCTTACTTGTGCATACTTTACTTGTGATTAAACTTACCTTTTGTGTTGACTTGTTTTTGTAAATAAAGTTTTAACGAACTAACCAAGGACTAAAAAGGACTTTGCTTAATTAATTAGTTAATTAAATTGAACCTATGAAGTTTAAACACGCTTGACTTAGCAATAATATAGGCTTATACCTTCGAAAGGATTACCGAAAATAAATTAAATTGACGTTCCATTGTTTTGGTGCGAAAAATTTAGTTTGTGCCACAGAACGCTAGGCTTATTGCGCCGCGACAGAACCAGCGTTCCGCGACAATTCCGTTGCCACGCAATGGTTCGGTTTCTTCCTTTTCGAGTCTTCATGTCGAGTCTAATTTCCATAATTAACCAATTTAATGTACAAACAAGGTCTTAACTTAGTCTTTGCTTGAGTCTAATCACATATGTAGTCCCATGATCATCACAAGAGTCTTGAACAGGTCACTTTCACTCACAAGCCAATGCACACACTTTGTTTTTTCACCATGAACATGTCTAGAGTCTTGTGTGCGTTTTTTCCGTCATTTTTTTTAACGGGGTAAGTCGGATACATGTTGCTTAAAATCATGCTTTGATTTCCAAAATATGCATCCATTTCTTGTTTTTTTGCTTTTCCAACCCAATAAAAATACGAGTCAATTCGAGTAAAGTCATTAAAAGAGTCAATGGTTTAATTTTACAGCGCTTAGTCAAGGAGAGAAGGGCCTTTAATCAAGGACAACACTTTTGTTCAAGTACTACTCTTTGATAAACCGATTTGACAGAGAAGAAAGTTCGTAATAATGGCCAGTCAAGAAGATTTTGAGAAACTTCAAAAAACTGTGAATGGACTTGCTGAAATGCTCAAGGGACTCACCACTCGAGTCGATGATCCTAACAAACAAGTACCCATTGAAACCATCAAGCGCATGGAGGATAGCTTGAGTCAAATCTCCAATGACTACAAGTACTTTGGAATAAGCTCTAAGGGAGTCTTAGTGGATAAGGAACTTCTTTCGCAGAAGTTCTCTGCCAATGACATTCCTAAATTCAAAGCTACTGACAACCCTAACTTCCGCTTGAGGGCCTTTGAAGCAATCATGGAGATCAAGGGGATTGACAGGAAAGTTTTCCCCTCGCTTTTCCTGCTTTCTCTTGAACAATAGTTCTTTTCCATAGGCACTAAGAAGATCGCTACTTGGGATTCTATTACACATGCTTTCATTGATAGATACAAATGTAATATTTAAGTAGAAACTGGAAATTCTTAAACAAAAAGAAAATGAAGGTTTCACTGTCTTTTACAATAGGTGGAAGGAAACTTCCACTAGGATGATTGAAGTCCCAAGTGAGAAAGAATCTGTAAGGATGTTAATTAAGAACCTCCAAGAGAAATACCAAAAGCATTTGAAATATCAATGCAACCTAAACACTTTTAAAACTGTCTATAACATAGGCATTGAAATTGAGGACGATCTTGCAAAACAGAAAGCTGCTAACAATAGTAATAACAGTGGTTGGAAAGGAAAGAAGAACGACAATCCTTCTTCTTCCAAAAACACTCACTCTAGTAACAATGTTAGTACCTTTAATTTAAACGATGTCCTAGCCATGAATAATCAAGGGCAAAGAAAGCAATTTAGATGAGAGTTCACCCCTAATGGAGCTATGATATCGCCTTTGATAGACTTCACGCCAAAAGACTTATTACTCCCATTAGACCTATGCAAGATCCTCCTCTTGAAAAGAGACCCAATTGGAATCCAAGTGCACACTGTAAATATCATCAAGGCAGGGGCCACTCTACTGAAAATTGTTGGAAATTAAAGGAAGCCATCCAATACTTGATCGATAACAACAATTTTCCAGTGCCTCCTGCTAGTAAGAAACCAAGCATCAACAATTCCTCACTTTCCGATTCCCTGGCTATTTCTGACGAACAAGAGCCAATAGATCCATCACTACTTATTAAACCAGTTGAAGATCCTTCCATAGAAGTAATTCATGCCATTGAAAAAGAAGAGGAGATTTTCTTCGATGCCATGACTGACTTTCAAGAAGAGACTACTAATGAAGACATTACTAGTCCTTCCCAAAATCCTATCAATGTAGATATAAATAGCCTTCTTGATGCTCTTCAAGAGTTAAGTCTTAAACTTCAAGTTCTTTACAGGAAGGTAAATAGGATAGAAAACAAGCCTGTCCCTAAAAGAAGGTGTGACCCCTCTTCTTCCTCTTACAAACCCAACACCATTGGAGGAAAGCCATTTACCTTCA